AAAGTTAGCTGTAATCTGAAAGAAAAATTGTATAAATCAGTTGTTAGGCCTGAAATGTTATAGGAGCTGAGACATAGGCAATAACAATAGCCCAAGAAAGAAAGATGAGATGAGAATGTTGAGATGGGTGCGTGGAGTGTCAAAGAAGGATAGAATAAGGAATGATTTTATTAGAGGTTTTGTTAAGATGGGCCCCTCGAGAAAAAAAGATGCAAGAATGTAGGTTGAGATGGGTTGGCCACATAGAGCAAAGAAGTGACAATTATTCTGGAAAGAAGATTAGAAAACTGGTAGTAAAAGGAAAGAGGAAAAGAGGGAGACCAAAGATGCATTGGAAAGATAAGGTGGAAGAAGACTTGAACCAGAGGAGACTTAAGAGAGATGAAGCCCTTGATAGGAAGAAATGGAAAAAATGTATTAGAGAAGGAAACGCTGACCCCATATAAACATGGGAAAAGGTGGAGATAAAGAAGAAGAAAAAAAATAATTATGGTTATTGTATCGTCCAAAATTATTTTTTTATTTTGCATAAACAAAATAGACATATTGAAAAATGTAAAAACAAAAAAAATTATATATCAGAAGTTAGTTTTAATATAAAAATTATGACAACTAGTGACATTTATTGTCAAAAACATTCCGATGTAGAAATGAGGTATCTCTGGTGCACCAGTCAAGGTCATTATGTTTTAGCCTGAGATATTTCGGGAATACTACGGAACAGGTTAATCATGCTTCTAAAAGATCTGTTTGTGGTTTCAATGTAAATTAAATCCCTGTCAAATCTTTCATCTTTTACTGGTATGTTATAAACTCTTGGAGTTCTGGTGCTATCTATAATATCATTATTATTTTGCAGAATGTGATATATAGTAATGCATTTTTTGTATGCCAGCTCCTTCCTCCATTGCATGTAATTTCTTTGTATATTGGTGTCATCTCAGACTTCATTTTCATTGCTTCATCTTTGTTCTGCCAAATTAAGCCAACTTTCAGCCAGTTTGCCCTGGGGCCTTCCGATTGTCATGGATGAATGACAGTGAACTATAGACTGAACTCTCTACATTAGTTGAATAAACTTTTGTCATACAGGCATTAAATTACCAATAACTGTCGTCAGACCGATAAGCACTTTCGACGTTAATTATTTTCTTCTTCTTCAGGTCGTTGAAACAGCTAAAATTCCTTATTTGATTACAAATAACTTTACATTACATAAAATACATTAGTTTCCATCCAAGAGAAGAAATTCTTGATTGGAATTATGTAAGCATTGTATTCCAAATAAATGGCTTGTTATGTGACTGTCTCAGTGTTGGCAACCACATCCACATTGTGTTGTCATTCCTTGTTCATATTGACAAGAAGGGGAAGGTTAATCCCGCTTCTTATCAAGATGAATGAACATTTTTCCATTGACAATTTCACAAAAATTCGCTTTGGATTCTGGAATTGCATGATGGAATTGAACACTATCATATTGGTATTTGTTTATTGTAAAGTTTCTAAAAATTTTGAAAGTTTTCTTTCATCTTTCTCATAGCTGCTACTTGTCAGATGTTTTAGTTACTGGAGGACAAATTAATTTCAAATTGTTTTTACTTCCAGAGCATTGGAACAATTCTCTTACTTCACAATATATAAAAATTCTTTAGTCAATCTTTGGAGAATTGCTATTTAGTAAGAACTCATATTGCTTCTTCTTGAGAAGAATAGCATTTACTGTACTTCCAACGTTGATTGTGTAGAAACTGAGTTTGTACTAGCTTCTATAGTTTTTTAACTACCACTTTCATTCTATGAAATAAGTCCTTAAAACTTTTAAGAAATTCTATTTTTACTTTTCCACTTCACTTAACAGAGGAAAAGTGATCAGTCAAAAAATGATCCCCAAGATTTTTCATTTTTGGACTGAGGGCACCTTGAAATGTCAAGAAATGCTAAAAACTTTGGGTTTAGTTTTTTCTATATATTATATGTATTGGTGTGTGTGTGGGGGGCACAATGTTGTTTGTCGTCTTTGAGGCTTAATAACTCCTATGCTTTGTCAAAAATTTCTGAAATTTTGCAGGGAAGTTTGTGTTTTAGGGCAGGGTTTCTTAAACTTTTTTTATTCATGAACCCATTTATGATTGTGATTTTTTTTTGTGACCCAAAAAACATAACATAAAGATATATACCAGGGCTGTGGAGTCAGAGTCGTCAAAAAATTCACCGACTCCGACTCCTTTTTACTTCCCAACTTGTTATGTATATAGAATGGAAAAGTATTGAAATCATGTCAAATTTGACCCTCCATGTTTCTTTTGCAAATCTACATGTTTGGAGACCTCCCAAATCCCCAAAAAAGTCAATAAAAGAGGAAAGATTCACACACGTGTGTGTTGGCATCTAATTTGTTTAATTTCTTTATTTTCTGTTCTGAGATATTAAACAATATCTCAGAATGGGTGAAGTTTAAGAAACGAAATGTGTCACTGTAGCTTGTGTCTAAAGGGGCATTAATACTATTAAATTTTGGTCCGTAATTAAAGCTCGACAGGGTGAAGATGTAAAAGAGGTCATGTGTTATATGTCTTAATGAATATTTTACTCGTTACTAGCATTCAAAATTTAAAACATAAAAAGTAAAACTCGTCTCTACCCTCAAAGTAAGTTTTTTTGTCATTTTATAATAGTACAGTAAAACCCGTTAATATATTCTCGCCTACGATGTTAGAATGTGTATGGGGACATGATTTAGTTCAACCACTCTGACTCTTAATAACTAACTCTTGTGTTAAACCATCTGACTTCGATTCTAACCACTCTGACCACAGAAATTATTAGGCTTCAAACAGGGTGAACAAAATTATGCCCCCACACACAGTTTAACATTCACACATATAGAAAAAAAACTCAAATCTTTTGCATATCTTGAAACTTCAAGGTGTCCTGAGTCCAAAAATGTAAAAATTTGGTAGGGGTCATTTTTTGACAGAGCGTTACACTTTACCTCTGTTATATATAACAGCCGGAAAAGTAAAAATTATCGAATACATATTTATATTTTGACTGTTCATTACTTAGAGGAGTCTTTTAGCATTGAAATAAAAAGTTTCTATGTTCTATCTTTATTAGAACTCTATTTATTGAACTTTTTATTCTGAGGTCACGTGATGACATCAGAATTTCCGGGTCTCTTTCGGTAACAAGTACACTCCTAGTCAGAGTCGGATAGTAAGGAAAAGTTAGAGTTGGAGTCGGTAGATTTTTATGTGACTCCACAGCCCTGATATATACAAATTTGCAAAAACAATAATGGTGTACTACCACAGTTCACTCTTGTGTTACAATGGAACAGAGACAACTGAATACACTGAAAAGCGACAACGTTGTAAAGTACTATATTATTTTTCCGACTTTCCAACGATTATCGACACTACTGTGTGCCGGAAATAGCCGTTCCCTAACGGGTACTTTACGCGGATTCGCGTTAGTGTGCCAGGCCTGGACTTTAAGCGTGCACCGAATTAAATAATGACAAAGTTTGTCAATAACAAAATCAAATATTTAATTAAACTTCTAGTAATAAACTATACAGTATTTAGTAAAAATCAAACAATAATTTATTCAATGAAACTCAACAAGAATCAATCCGACAAACTCAAATCAATCTATTTCTAACTTAATTCTATTCCCCTTTGGAATTCGACAAAATCAAAGAATTAACTTATAAACAATAATTCTTATAAATTAAAGATCCTAATCGTCACCTCAATATACTAGGAACCTATTTCCTCAACTCTCAAGACTTTCTATAATCGTCGATCCACAAATCGAATAACTTCAAAATCCTATCGGACACCTCTCTCGTTCACTGCTACGAAGCTCACCAAAGCTCGTTGCTATCAGGAATTCACCTCGTTCGTTTTCACTTGAGTTAGAGGCTTTATAGTGTGAGGTGACGTCACAATTCTGAATGAGCTCACTCTCCTCATTTACATACTTATCTGTAACATTAAATTTTTCTTGTTTATCTGGCAGATTATTTTCCGACAATACTTCGCTAACCTTTTACATTATTCTTTTTAACAATTATCGGGATGCTTTATTCTTTTAAGGTTTAGCGATTCCTAACTGGGTTGTGGGGTCTTCCCCCCCCTTTTTCTCGGTGCGGACTTACTTTTTTCCGCTTGGGAAGCGCAAGTGTGCGCGAGTTTTTCTACGGCGCTTTTCTTTCGTCGGTGAGTTGGTTTTTCTTCTATTTTTAAGTTACTAAGGTGAATGGTGAGGAAACCTTCGTCTTAACTAAACATAAGCCCCAAACAAAATATAATGAAAGCAAAATAAAAGTAAAATAAAAATAAAGCTCAGACTTGGTTCCTTACAACACTACACTAGTACACACTACAGTGTTGCTGAATCATTGTCTCGTTGCACCAGAAGTGACACAAAGTGCAACTCACAAAACCTATGACACAAAGCGTGCCATTTTCAAACTCTCTCAAATTATTTTCAATATTTTGCATTAAAATCTCGCGACCCCAAGATTTCGCTAAGCGACCCATAGTTTAAGAAGCCCTGTTTTAGGGGAATTGATGCTATTAAATTTTGGTGGTTAAAGGATGGGGGAGATAAAGGGAGGCTCGTGTCATTTCTCAAATGGGGTTTGACTTGATGATGATTTTATTCATTATTAGCATTTACAAGTTTTTATAAAACCCATCCCTATTCTCAAAATTAAGCTTTTTGACATTTTATAATAATTAAAAATTTTTCTAATAGAGTAATAAATTATAATATAACAACGTCCTGTAAATGTCACTTACTTACCCTTTAGCGAACTTGAAAACCTATGACAGAAACAAGAGGCACAAATAAACTAAATAAAACCTTTTTTTATGATTTTACAAAGAAAACACAATCCTTAGTTCTTAAATTCAGCTTTATTAATACAGTTAACGTGTTATTATCACAGCTGGAGGACCTTCAACAACATACAAGAGGACCTTTCTCTTAACCAATATGTATAAACTGCAAGTGATTCGAGGCTTTCTCTCTATATTTAAAAAAAACAATGAAATTATTATTATTATTATTATTATTGAATTAATTAATTAATTAATTTTATTTTTAAATTAGTCGAAATGCAAGAATGGACTAAACTCAACTGTCCAGCACCTCGAGCACCTAGAAATGGGATCAGTTTTATTTTTGATGATGGTCAAAGGGTACAATATCGTTGTCATCCCGGATTTATAATGAAAGGAAAAGTTTCCTCGGTTTGTATAAATAATAAATGGAATAATCCTCCTCCCTTATGTCTTCTACCAAACAGTAAGTTCCTATTTTAATCCATAACGTTTTTTTTTTATTTGTTGATTTTAAAAACACGCTGAACGGTCTTAAAAATAAAACGGAATTAAAACATTATCTTAAAAATAAAACTAAACAATAAAAATAAATGAAAAACTTATGTGAATTTATTGGCTTTTTTTCATGTTTACAATGTTTTATATTTGCTAAAATTAAAACAAAACTAGACATTTTTCTGTAAGAATGTAGTTTATTTCTATATTTATCTTACGACCTTACGTGCCACACACTCGCTTGTCAGACAAATGAATGCTATTAAAATGCTATTAAAATTTTTTTTAAAATAGCTTTTTATTTAATAATAATTAAAGACGATTTCAGAAAACATTTATTATTAAATGAGGCAACAAATAATAATAATATCTATTTATTTTAAGACATAGACAATGTGAAACGTTGCAAAAATTCTTCTAACTCTCACGCGAATTTTCGGAATTGTTGGGGGTCGATTTCTTTACAGATGTTACTCATTCAACGTAACTTAGGATAAGTATGACCTTCGAGATGGGGAGAACCGAGAGAAATGGGCTCTTAGTGGTTCTATCCCTATACATTAATGTTATTTTTACTAAGAAAATAAAATTTTTAAGGCTACTTTCTGTTATTTTAGAAGCATTCTACATTTAATTAAAAATAAGTGGCCTGGGAGGCCCACTAAAGGTCAAAACGGGCCCTTTGCAAGCTCTCGAATTCCTCGACGATAAGATCTTGTTTAAATTTGTCTTTAACATAAAATATACACTCAATTTTTATTAACTATATGCCAATAATTTCACAAAAGTTAAATATATTTAAAGTTTCTAATATTAAAAAAAAACCTCTAATATAAATCTAAAACATTTCCATCCACGTTAAGCTTACCAAGATCACTTGTCTTCATCAGATAAAGTTGCTGTACCAACAATTCGCAATAGATTTAATTGGGAATCCAATGATATGGAACCAAGTCACATTTCGCTACGATATGGAAATGGTTCTAGTAGATTACCACTGATAAATGGGCTGTGGAAAAATCCATCTACGAATATAGATAGCCGGGTTCTATCTATAGTACCAGATTCGAGCTTAGGAAATTCAGTTCCACCTAAACAACTAATCAAACAAGAAGTAGATATAGCTGAACTCCGTAAAAAGTTAGAACAAGAAGTAAAATCTTCGAGACACATAAACGATAAAGGCAATTCCATTACGAAATTAGATCCTCAATATCCACCATTTTACGTTAATCCGGATGGTTTCGTATTGGGAGTTTCAAATTCGAATCGATATCCCGTCTATAGTTTAGGTACAATATACGATTCGAATAGAAATAATTATCCCGTATCCGGTTATCTGGAACCAGAGATGGTAGAATTAAGGAGAAAACAAATAGAAGAAGCTAAAAATATTCAGATGATTGCTGCGAGTAAAAGGCATAGAAATAAATTTAACAATATTGTAACGTACAGTTCCAGAGACATACCCGTTTGGCAAGGAAGAATTAAGCCACAGAATAGATACCATACGGAAAAAACCGTATATAAAGCAACCAGAGTCGAAAGAAACAAGCATTTCGAACAAGATAAACCACCGAGTGCGCCATTTAATACGAGAACAGTTATAAAACCAAACCCACCAGCCATAGAAATTAACAAAGAGAACTTCTCAACGGATATACCCAAATTTTTGAGTGTTAATAGGCCTACTGTTCCATTACTGACGGAAGATATAGTGATAGCAACTATGCCAACACCCATAAGTGAATTTTTAAATTTAGGTAATTCAGAAAACAATAAATCTACAAATCCTACTGCATTTCCTCGAACTTCCACAAGTGATTCGAAGAACGAATTGCATGTTGCTAATAAATATAATCGCGATCCTCTTGAATGGCCTCCTGAAGCTTTATGGTTTAAACATGAAACAACAGCGATACCTCGATTATTTGTAACACAGAGAATTCACGAAAAACAGAAGAAAAAATCGTCGAATAAGAAATCAAATAGAGGAAACAAACGAGGGAAGAATACACGAAAGTCTCAAAAGGCTCCAATTGTTACATTCAGCCATGGCAGAGTCAAGAGCACAAATTTGAAGAAAACTCAAAAATAAACAAGAAAATTCAACGTATGAATTATTTAAATTATATAAAATTCATATTTTAATTCCAAAAAAAAATAATTCACAATATATTTTACTTTTTGCATTTTTTTAAAATATAATTAAAAGCTCGTGCAAATTATATAACCCTCAAATCATCGCTGTAAAGTTTAATTAACATGGACTAAAACCTAATTAAATCATATTTTAATCGCGATTTAATAAAAACGGTACTTAAAAAAAATTGTTATTTAATTAATTAAAACACAATTTAAATTGTTTTATAAATTAAAATAATAATAATAATTCATATTTAAATTTTGAAAAATAAAATTTGTTTTTATTTGAAATTTTTAAAGTGTAATTTTAATTTATTAAAATTTTCCTCATGTGTTTTCTTTTCTTTCCTTTTAATTCTCTTCAGCCTTAACTCCTAAAATTACACCTAATTCACGGAATGTAAACATTAATAATGGTGTTGCCTATGATATAAGTTGTTTAAATACAGCAGCAAATTTTATNATATACACATTCAGAAAAAAATGAGACAACTAATATGAATAGCGCACTCAAAAATTTGATTATTATTATATTTAGTAATGCATAAAAATCAATGCAACCCAGAAAAATTATCATAAGACTAAGAGCCTGGAGATGAGGTGCAAAAACCTGGAGAGGCGGTCATCCTAATTAAATATATTTAAGTGTGTAACAAGTTAGAGCATATCTTTTAAACATAAATCAAGCAAATATCCTCACAAAGTTCTTCCATTTTGCATTTACAAACTCTGATGTAAATTATTAGTGCCAAAATAAAAAATAATCCATTTAACTTATTACAAATAAAAGCATACAATGATTGTGGCTTGTAAATGTATTTTATCATGCCTTATGACAATCCCTTCACACCACAAAATGCATATTGTGGGAAGTATGTAACATTCATCTCTGTGTTGTGTGAGAATAACAGGCTAAATGAGCACCTTTAATACAAAAACATTAAGCTTCCGGTTTAAATTGTATGCTGGATAGCAAAGAGACTGATACAAGTGGAGAATTCTGTAAAATATCTACAATATAATAAATAGGCCTATTGCACTTTAGTGCTCTTCTAGTGTGTAATCGAGTAATGATGGGAAATAATCACATCCTGTGATATGATGCATGGCTTTTATATAATACATAACTTATGTATATAGATTAGACTACAGAAGTGCATCATCTTTGAGTCAGAATCACACCAAACTGCAGTGTATATTATGTTGCAGATGTTCTTTTCAAACTTTAAGAATGATGGTTCAATCCCACTTGCAACATTGATTTTCATGTATAACATTATCAACTGAAGGGGTGAGTGAAAGGTGATTTCAACCTTAAAACATGCCACAACTTCTTTGCCCATAACTCGAGAATAAGGAAACCAAATATAGGAAAACAGTGTTGCAAGAGAATTCCCTGCTAGCAAAAACAATGTTGCTAGCAGGTTTGTGTACAGTCGACCCCCCCTATAACACTGTTGATTATTCCGTTTTATATGAATTCCATGTTGTACGAGTCACTTAGATTTTACAAATACGTGTGCCGGGCTGTGAACGGCTCACACATTTGTAAAATCTAAGTGACTCGTACAACATGGAATTCATATAAAACGGAATAATCAACAGTGTTATAGGGGGGGTCGACTGTACACAAACCTGCTAGCAACATTGTTTTTGCTAGCAGGGAATTCTCTTGCAACACTGTTTTCCTATATTTGGTTTCCTTATTCTCGAGTTATGGGCAAAGAAGTTGTGGCATGTTTTAAGGTTGAAATCACCTTTCACTCACCCCTTCAGTTGATAATGTTATACATGAAAATCAATGTTGCAAGTGGGATTGAACCATCATTCTTAAAGTTTGAAAAGAACATCTGCAACATAATATACACTGCAGTTTGGTGTGATTCTGACTCAAAGATGATGCACTTCTGTAGTCTAATCTATATACATAAGTTATGTATTATATAAAAGCCATGCATCATATCACAGGATGTGATTATTTCCCATCATTACTCGATTACACACTAGAAGAGCACTAAAGTGCAATAGGCCTATTTATTATATTGTAGATATTTTACAGAATTCTCCACTTGTATCAGTCTCTTTGCTATCCAGCATACAATTTAAACCGGAAGCTTAATGTTTTTGTATTAAAGGTGCTCATTTAGCCTGTTATTCTCACACAACACAGAGATGAATGTTACATACTTCCCACAATATGCATTTTGTGGTGTGAAGGGATTGTCATAAGGCATGATAAAATACATTTACAAGCCACAATCATTGTATGCTTTTATTTGTAATAAGTTAAATGGATTATTTTTTATTTTGGCACTAATAATTTACATCAGAGTTTGTAAATGCAAAATGGAAGAACTTTGTGAGGATATTTGCTTGATTTATGTTTAAAAGATATGCTCTAACTTGTTACACACTTAAATATATTTAATTAGGATGACCGCCTCTCCAGGTTTTTGCACCTCATCTCCAGGCTCTTAGTCTTATGATAATTTTTCTGGGTTGCATTGATTTTTATGCATTACTAAATATAATAATAATCAAATTTTTGAGTGCGCTATTCATATTAGTTGTCTCATTTTTTTCTGAATGTGTATATACATTCAGAAAAAAATGAGGATATAACATGAATACATCTTTGCGCATAAACATCGTTTTAATGCTGCAATAGATTTGAAAGCGTTTATTCTTTTCTAACAGAGACCAGTCTTCTTGTGGATCCTCCATATATTTGAACAATGTTGTTTGTGGTGGCCATGTTGTTGGAAATGATTACTTAATGACTCATTTATAAAAAAAGTGATTGCACATTGATGCTGATGTGAGGGTATGTGCCATCTTGCATAAAGATTGTAGTATCTGAACAATTTTGTTACCGAGGTGCATGGATGATGAAATTTTGAAGCATGTCTCCATACCTACTGATTTGACTGAACATTTTACTAGACCTGGTAGTGTTTGCTTCAAAAATTATCATCAAATGATAAAAGATGTTGTAAACCTGCACCATGCTGATTTTTGGTTTCTGCAAGTTGAATTTGTTCATAAACCTCTGTGCTTTCTTCAGTGTTCTCTACACCATTCAAGTAAGAATGGGTTTCATCAGTCCATATAATTTTCCAGGGCCATGAATCCTTCATCTATTATTTAAGCTATGAATGATATGGCAAATGATTTCTGCCAAGCATATCATTAAGAAGTAATTTGTTACTAAAAGATATTCTATAGAAGTAAAACTGTAATATTTATCACAAAATATTCTGCACTGTAGAATAAGAGAATTGCTATGATAACAACAACTGCCCTAAGAATTTTTCATTTGCTGCTCTATTAAGGTGGTTGCAATCTTCTCTCTCTTTGCTGGTTTACTAGTTTGCAATCCCTTGTTTTGCATTGAAATTTATCATTTCCTTGGAATGCTAAATCATTTTCCTGAGATTAGTAACAGTCAGAGGACCTTTTCATGAAGACTTTAAACATCAGAATACCTTAAATATAACAACAGATGAGACTGTCAGGATGTCAGGAAATTTCCAGAGGCACATGTAGAATTGGTTGATTTTCATCCTTAATATTCATAATTAGTTGTGGTGCTGCAGTCGCAATTGTCAAAATGGCGTTGGTTCAAGAGAAAATGTAAACTGTTATCTTCCACTGGATAGTGTTCCTTCACATTGGAGTCATCAAGTGAGGTATTATCTGGACATAGAGTTTCCTGATGATTGGATTGGATTGCCTCATTCCACAGAGCCCATGATCCCCGACATTATACCTCTAGACTTAATTTCAATTAAAAAGGTAGATAGTATTTTCTCAATATAAAAATATATTAAAAACTAAGTCATCTTCATTTGCATCATGTCTAATTACCGGAAACAAAAACAGTCTTTCTTCATAAAGATGATCTTTTATTAGATTGTGGTTGTTCATAATGAGAGATTTGTAAGTCCACAAATAAACGTTACAAATAGGAACACAGGAACAAAAACATGTATGATTGAATATTCCTTTAATGCTCTCTGAACATGGTTTTTTTTTTCTTGTTTTGTTACAAAGATTCCAACTTAATGTGTTTCTTTACCCTATTATCCTCACAGGAAAATAGGTCGCCTCCTATTCTCATACAAGTATATAATATATGCACGCATAACACAAAACCTTGATAACTGACTTAAAAACTAATCTTGTCTAACTTAAAACTAATATAACAGGGAAACGATTAGACTTAGGAAAGTGTAGAAAGTATAAAGAGATAGATAGAGAGTACCCGGGTCCACGTTGATTGATCGATATCTTTCATGAGGCATCCTTTCACAGACGTGATCTTTTATTCTTCTTTACTGATTCAGTAATTTGTTTCTGAGGTTCTCCGATTCTTTCGGTTTTCCTTAGCCCCTCGTGCTTCTTCCTCTCTAACCTCAATAGTCCTCTCTTATACTTGCCGTCTTCTCCCTACTTCTCTGTTTTGAGCTTCGCTCACTACACTGTACATTCGTTCCTTTTGAGGTCCAGCCAAAAAGTGTTCCCCTCTCTCCTTTCTTCTTGCCTCAGGCTATATTTTCTTTTGTTTATTATCCTCAAATTTGGAGAAGCACCAATACCTTACTCCTTTGTTTCACCCTTGGTTCTGAGAAGGGGTAAGCCTCCCCCCTCAAGTAGTAATGGTCGATATGGAAAGTTCTCAAAAACAATAGAAAGAAAGTAGAAGAATAGAAATAAAATAAGGAATTGTGAACTATACCTCGTATACAAACTACAATATGGCTGATGGCCACAAGATGCTATGCCTCTTCAAAATTATGTAAAAAAGTTATCTAAAAGGTCATCTCTGTGAAAGAAGACTGTTTTTGTTCCTGGACATGATGGAAAAAAGACAAGTTAGTATTCTTCTACATTTTTTACATTGTTTCTTGGCTCCTTCCTCTATGAATATGTGAAGGACAGGAGTTATGCTGGTAAGAAAATCAATGACCTCGGTCATAAGTGTCTGCAGAAAATTTTACAGATAGGCAAAGCTTGGAGACAAATAATTACATCAATAAAATTTTTATTTAATAATTTAATTTTTTTAGGTCATTTTTCACAAGTAGTTTATAGAATACAGTATTGCATCAAAGTATCCTATTGTTAAGGTTGCACTTCTCAATCACTTTTACAATTATAATTCATGGAAGTTTTTACTCAATCCTGGGAGGGACAAGTGTCACATTTGCCTTCTGCTTGATCTTAATGAACTTCATGTGCACATACAAGATGATGTTGCTTCTATTATACCTAAGAGGTGCCAGTGCTAGTTCATATATTTCCTGTGACTAAGCAGCCACAGGAAATATATGAACAAGTCCCGTTTGCCTGCTCCATGTCATAGTTTATTAATCCATTATAGTTCTAACATACATTTAAAACTATATTATGATATATTTTGTTATTAATATATATTTTAGGAACATTCCATGACAGACGAACAGATGAAATTCAAGCTGATGATAGTGGAGAAAGAAATTCATGCCAAATAAATAATGGTGGTTGTGATCATAAATGTAACTTAGAACTAAATGGAGACATCACCTGTAGTTGTTTTGAAGGATTTAAATTAGAAAAAGATGGTAAAAAATGTACTGGTATGTTTTAAAATAATTTATATAAATATTAAAATCTGATATATTAAAGTAGGAAATTATCTTAATTTTGAATTATTTATTTTGATGAAGATATTAATGAATGCCTTGTAAATAACGGAGGATGCGAAGGAACGTGCTACAATCAAATTGGCTATTTTGTTTGTCGTTGTCCAAGAGGCTATAAACTAGCTGCTGACAGAAGAGGCTGTCAAGGTAAAAAGTAGAAATTAAGAATTATTGTTATAATCTATATACATAAAAATGAATGAATGTGTGTGTGTGTGTCCTTCATGCATTACCACACCGTTTATCCGATTGCCGTGAAACTTTGGGAAGTTGTTTAATATACTCCAGCAAAGGTTTGTGGCATAGTACGATTGCCATGAAACTTTGGAAAGTTTTTTAATACACTCCCGCGAAGTACATTTATCCTACGATAGATGGCGCGCATTTACATGAGCATTTGAGCACTGTGTGTTCCATCGATTTCAAATTGTGAAGACCATTTCCCCCCTTCAAAAAATATCTCTATATATGCATTTGTGAACTGTTATTTACAATTATTTGTAATAATTTTTGTTTAATCACTTTATTTCAACTTTTTTTTTTTGCTAATTATGTATTCGTTCGAACTTTGTTAAAACCTTAACTGTACCCCGAACAACAACCGAAGTTGTAGGAAGAAATTCGCGTATATTACCGATCTAGGTATCCCCTCTTTTCCAAATTTTAATGTAGACTCAAAATAATTTAAAAAGACAAATTACAATAAAACGGTTTATTATCCAACTATCAGAAATTTCACAACATGCCAAGGAACAGAGGAAGGAGCAATTAAATAATTAAAATTATAAAGGATTAAAAAATATATATATATAAATGGGGAAATATTGCACTTCTGACAATCGCTGCAAGTGTGTGGGCTAAATTTAGAGAATCCGTGCTTCTCGCATGGACAACTGTATGTGGCCCGCTCACGTGTCGGAAAATCTTCTGATTTATTCGTGTATGCACCAGACAGAAAAACAAAAAATATCGTGTATTCACAAGCACTTCAATAAATAAATAGAATTGAAACGACACTTTGAAATGTTATCCCAATGAAAATAAATAATAATAATAAGTTTCAATAAAAATGATAAAATGTAAATTGAATTTTATCATAACGAGTTTGCTTGAATTTCCTTTCTGAGATCGCAGCAATGCGCGACGGGTAAGCTAGTACATAATAAAAGTGGGTTTATCCACATATAAGTGGAAAATTTTCACGTTTCTTTCAAACCTTGATTCTGGATTTCCTGATCCTTTTTCCATTCTTAAGCTTAATGTTTATTAATTAACCGATCACCCACTGTGTATGAACGTAAGCAATTAACCCATTGTTACAGATACAAAATAAAAACCTAACCTTTATTAAATTCTATTTGTTAATGTGATAATATTCATTAAATTAATATCTAAATTTATATATTTTTTAATAATCTATATATAAACATTATCATGTTTACCACAAATAATTATCAGAAATACAATAAAGTTGACCTTGTATATTAGAATTATAATCAATGTATTGTAAATGCCAAAATATTGTGTAAATTAAACAAATATCAATATTTTAGAAAGATTCAATTTAAAAATGGCTACAAATGTTTTAATGCTATACTTTTTTAATTCTTAAATTGCCTTATATCATTAAAACATTGAATGAAATAAATTTTCAATTTTTATTAAATTTTTATCAATAATTATGTACATTTTATTTCAAAATTAAATAAGATATAATTTCAATAAAATATAGTTACAATTTATAGCAAGTAGTGATTTTATATTGTAAGAGAAAGTTCTTTTGAAAAATCTTCTGTAAATATATAACATTATTATTATTAATGGACAATAAGCTTTATAATAGAATTTCGGAATTAATTTTATAAATGTAATAAAAGTCATTAAATTTCATATTTAATTAATTATTTTCAAAAATGTCTTTCCACAAATTCATGACGTCGCTGTCTTTTGTTCTTTCCACAATTTTTTCATTTAACAATCGTATTTGTTCTTCGTTAAAGTGATTTTTCCAATCGCCAACAATTCCTTTTCTAACTAGAGTCCCACTTTTTGTATCTTTTCCTGTTTTATTTAAATTTTGTACAATTTTCATAGTCCCTGGAGGTATATTTTTGTTTTCTAGCCATGTTTTGTCTTTTTGAAAAAACACATCAATGTTCTTCTTGCTGCTCTCCTTCATATAATCGAAACTGCTGTAATGAATAATATTTTCCATTATTTTTGGATCACTCAAAATACTTTTCTCGTATTCTTCCCCAATAAATTTGGCTATTTTCAATATTTCTGCTTTAATATCTTTCTTGAGATCTTCGTACGTTACAAAATGAACGTTGTCATCATTTTTATGTTCGTACCACCCAAGAAGGTGATCAAAATAATCGCCATAAAGTAAATTACCATCGAGAAATGCTTCAAAAAATTCATGAAAACTTAATTCTTTCTGGGAAATTGAAAGAAATTTAATGAAATGATAAAAAGAAACGCAGCAATCTCTAGGATTTCTGATAGTGTAAATATATTTAGATTCTGGAGAAAAAGGAATAGCAGAAAATGGTAAGTGTGTTCTCATGGCTTTTGGTTTTGTCATTTCTATGTATTCTGCTCCCACAATTTCTATAAACGGATAAGCTAACAAATCTAATGGATCTTCAAATGGTTGACCTTTATGAAGGATTAAGTTGACTATATGATGCATCCAAGTTGTTCCACATTTCGGATAACTAACGAGAAATAAATCTCCAGGTTTTGCTTTATAATTCATTCCAGATAAAAACGATTCTTCCGAATAATCCAGCAGAACACGCACTCCACCCACTTCCTTATACATTTTCATCTTCTCCATTACTATAAGTTAGTTATAGTATATTATATGAAATAAGTACTAAAATTGAGTAATTATTTAGTACATATAATATGAAGTATTGTACTTACTGCTTTCTCACACGCCAGTTATATCCAACGTTCACAAATAGAAAGTTTAACTGAGTGTTAAACATTAGAAATATACGTCATTAACGAATCAACGTAAGATTAGATAATGTCCTTTCTTATCATTGGTCGAAAGTTATATAATAATATATGATAAAATTGATAAACGAATTTGATTAGGTAGCGCATAACCTTTTGACTTCTTATGGATTCGTTTATTGCGTTTATATATATATATATATATATTTGTATGCAGCAGGGGCGTGCCATGACATTTGATGATAGGGAAGCTGTGTTTTTGTAACAAGCTGACTTCCAGGGGCAATCAGTCAGTGATGGTCTAGGGTCCATTCATATTCGTTTGTTCGATAAGCCAGTAAAAACTGTAGACTTCTCTAAATGTATTTTTAATTAATAGATTATCTAACGCACTTAATAAATAAGCAAATTCAATATAATTAACTCCGTTATATTAGATTTAATAGATTCTCTACACCCTCTAAATGCCAATTCCCGCTTCGATAACATCTACTAATTAAAATATAATGTATCTATTAGCCGTAACTATCTCGTTATAATTTTCAATATTTATTTTATATTGTGTACTAATGTTAAATTCTATTCTATTTTGGTTTCCAAATTGCTTCAATTTTATGAAAGATTCGATGCGAGATTTAGGATTTTCGTGTCTTTTGCCAGCTTTACTAAAATTATTTAAATCATCAAAGCCAATCTCATTCCACACGCTAATTTTATTTGAAAATAGTAGGCAAGGCCAACTAAACAATTTTTGCATTTTTATGCATCCACACAGCCATTTTATATCTTCATAAATTTTATCGTGAAAATGTCGAACAAATTTTTTTGTCGACGTATTTATATTTAATTTAGGCATTGCTCTTTCTCTTTTAATGATGTTTTCTTTTTCATTATATGGTCTCGAGCTAAAACTTTTTGAAATAAATTTTCAATATTGCAATTACATTCTAAATTGCTAACCATAATATAAGGGCTAAAATTAAAAATAAAATTATAAAAACTTACTTGGTAAAATAAAATGTTTGATGGATATACAATTATACATACCTGGTACAAAATATTC